AGAGAGAGAGAGAGAGAGAGAGAGATGATAAACGGGAATGCATCTTTCCCAGAAAACGGGAAGACGCATTCCCGTTTGTTAGAGCGAGAGAGAGAGAGAGAGAGAGAGAGAGAGAGAGAGAGAGAGGAAGAGAGAGAACGCGTAACGCGTCAGAGCAACGTGGCATGCTCCGACGCGCCACCCATTTTCAATCTCTCTCTCTCTCCCTCTCTCTCTCTCTCTCTTGCACACGGGCGGGCGCATGTCACGTGGCGAGGATCCAGATCTCACCGGGAAGGTCGAACGAGGTAGCGACCACGGAACGGCAGGGGCACGAACGGCCGCACGGCGGAAATCAACAGGCCCGGTAACCTGTCCCGTCCTGTGCCAAAATGAAAGTGGAACAGGCCGGTACCCCGAAAATGAACGGTACCGGCAATGAAAAAGTTCTGGAGAGCCCGGTACCGGTTCCGAACCTAACAGAACTGCCTATTACAAAAGCCTATTACAACTGCCAGCCTGACTCCGATGCCGCTGTGAGTTACAACCTCCTTTCTGAACTTACGGTCTGACAAAGTTGCCGACACTTGTTTTTTCTGCCAATTACGAACTGTAATGTGACATAAACGTACTTCCCTCTTTATTTTTTTAGAGTCCCTGATCTCCGGTTCCTGAATGTTGGCGCTCTCTGCAGTTGGCACCCGCTCTCAAATCCCTCCTCTGGTACTGTCAGACTTCGATACTTGGCGCCATCCGGCATTCTGGCGCCCAGCCTCAGACCTTCGATTTTCAGTTCAGCCTCAAACCTCCCGTATCTGTTCTGATTGTTTTCTGAGATGGCTCAAACTCATTTTGTATAAGGGACGCTGGACCCGTTTTCCAGCAGGTGATGCTCCCCGCCAATAGATGGAGCCTCTCCCCAGGTGCTAGTGGTGTCTGCCCTTATCAGCACCACTAGCACTGGGGTGTTGTTTAAAAAAAAAAAAAAAAAAAAAAAAAAAAAAATTGCACTTCTGCCCTCGGACTTAACTTGAGTCCGGTACTTAAGACCGGACTCAAGCTGAGTTTGGGGGACTCAGTTTTCGGCCTCAGTGTTTGTGCTTCAGTGTGACTTGCTGCAACATTGCGTACGGAACCAAGGTTGAGACTTTACGACTTTGCGACTTTGCCACTTTGTGTCTGTGTCCATGGAGTCTTGTCGAGTCCGTGCCGAGTTGAGTGAGTGTGTGTGTGTGCGCTCTCACTCCCTCCCTCTCTCTTCCCTGACCTCGCTGCTCTGCCTCAGCCCCGTCACACTGGTATCGGAGCGGCTTCGGCCCTCCCTCCGGCCCTGATTCAGTGTCCTCGCCGTCGACCTCGTCGCCGTCGCTACCACGTCATCATCATCGCCGTCATTTGCCACATCATCGACATCGTCGTTACCTCGTTGCCATCGTCGTCGCCGTCGTCGCTGCCACGTCATCGTCAGCATTCCCTTGTACCCGCTGCCACGCCATCGTTACCACTGCCGCTGACATCGACGACGCGCAGGTAAGCCCCCGACAAACTTTTTTTTTTCTTTTCTTTTTCTTTTTCTCCCCCTCATATCTTCTTCCTCCATATCATCGTCGTCGTCATCGTTTCTTCTTCCTATTCTTCTTCTTCCACTTCTTTCTCCCTCCCGATTGTTCTTCTCGTCCTCATCCTTCTCCCTCTGATTGTTCTCCTTCCCCCCCCCGACCCTCTTCGCCCCCCCGCGACTCCCCTGCTTACCCGCAACCTCCTGCTTCAATGTGACCCTGAGGCAAAAGTTGTTCAGTTTATTTTTCTGCATAACATAGTTTTTTTTAAGATTTTTTTTTTTTTTTTTTTTTTTTTTTTTTTTTTTTTGCTGGGACCTTACCTGATCCTTGCACGGGCTGGCCACCCGGGACCCGGGCGGCCCGGCTGGTAGCCTAGTTCTTTTTTGAATTTTTTGCAAATAAAAAATATTTCAGAATTGATTAAAAATCTTTTTCGACATTTCATTTTCGTGATGCGAAAATAATTTTAATTACTTCTTATTCGAAAATTTTGTAATTCGAAATAATTCAGAATTAATTTTTGACATTTCTCCAAATTTTGAAACTACTTTTAATTCGTTCTTTTTCGAAAATTTTGAAATACGTTGGAATTAATTTATTTTTTTTCGATATTTCTTTTTTGAAATTCAGAAATAATTTCAATTATTTTTTTTTCTCGAATATTTTTGTTAATAAAATTCCCCTTTTTATTTTTCAAAATGTTCTTGAAATTCGAAAACGCCTTGTGATCAATTCCTTTTTTAAAACTTGGCAATAATTTAGCATTACTTAAATCCTTTTTCAAAATTTTCACGTTTTTGCAAAACCATACCCCAAAATTAATTTCGAATAAAATTAAACCCAAAACAGAGTTTATTTTTTTTTTAAATTAATTCTCCTTTTTCCCTGTTTTGATATTTTGAGCAAAAATTTTTGGAAATTTTCGTTTTGCAAGTTTTCCTCCTTCAGATTCTTCTTGAATGTCTTCCCAAGGCGTATTCTCGAATTAACCTCAAATAACATTAATTAATTCGAATTGGAATTTATCCACTTTAATTTTGCAAAATTTACTATTATTTTTTTGTAAATTATCTTCTTTTGATGGTGTTGTAAATAGGACCCCCCCCCCCCCCCCCCCGTCCTTCCCTGGGCATGCCACGCTCAACAAGGAACTCTCAACGCGCAGCCGCTGAAGCCGCCGCTGCTGCTGCTGCCTCTACCTCATCCGCTGCTAACTCCTCAACCGCCACTACCACCGATTCCTCCCCCACCATGACCCAATCATCCAGCATTCATATGTCCGGCGTCCGCACCGACTCCATCGATAACATTGCCGGCAAACTCGCAGGCGAGCAAACACCAGCACCCGATGCCGCCATCGACCTCGCGACTCTTTCCCACGTGATGACATCTCTCCAGTCATCCATGAACGACATCAAAACATCCATTTCCACCATCTCTGCTTGGGTGACCACCATAGAAAGTCACACCCCCGCCATCTAGGTCGTCACCACCACATCCCCTTCCTTCACCACCCTTCCCCCATCCTCCGCCTCCATATCTACACCGATCACCCCGTCCCCCACGTCCACCGCCCTCTCCGCTAGGCTCTAGAACGTCGTCCACACCTCCGCCTTCATCCACCACTACCTCCACTTTGGTCACCAAGACGACAACTTCCACCGTCACGCAATCATCAACCATTCCCTCCCAGTCAAAACCCCTCATGACTTCATCGAGTATCACTTCCACCTATACTCAGATCACCCCCACACCTCAAGCCTTGCTCCCCGTTATCCCAATACTCCTCCGTCCACACTCCTCCCGACCAGTCCCACTACTTCACCCGGGTACTGTCCTCCTCACCCAAACTTGATTTCAACACCTTCGCCACCACAACACCCTTAACGGGTAACGTTCCCCCATTCTTCCGGTCAACGGATATCCCCCCCTTCACCGGTCTTCCCCACGAGGACGTCTTCGTCTTTCTCAGCAAACTATACGATGCCTCCTTCCTCCATAACGTCCCTGTCACACACTAGCTCCCTATTGCCAGCACCAGGCTACAGGAAGGTGCCGCTCGTTAGTGGTACACCGAACGAGCTAACCGCCAACACGCAAACGAGGAACCCCATTCCTTCCTTCAGTGGGAGAATCTCATCACCTGCACATTCTGACCACAAAAAACGGTCGATGACTACTTTGAGGAACTCTGTCGTCTTCGACAGAACGGCCCGACCGACCGCTTTGTCCAATACGTTTGTGCGTTGCGGCTACACATCCCCCTTGACTACATCAGCGATGCTGCATTCATCTCCCGCTTCAAATGGGGATGCTGCAAGGACCTAGCCACCTCCCTCGTCCACGACCCCCCAATGTCCCTCCGATCTCCTCAACCGAGCCATTCACCTAGACAAATTCCTCACCCTGTAAAAGGACGCACTCACATTCGCCCCACCCGGCCTACGATGCTCTCATAACATCGTCGAGGAAACATCTCTCTCTGCCTCCTCGGACAAGTTCTCTGCCCCCGACCTCGACATCCTCTCCGACCCACTAGACACCACATCACTCTCCTCTGACGAACTTTTCGCCATTCATCTCATGCGAATGGAAAAAAGAGAATGCTCTAGCCATCCTCCCATCGACACACACCCAACCCGTCTCACGAAACTAACGCCGGAGGAGCGAACCTACCTTCAAACAAAGGGTTGTTGTTTTTGGTGCCAACAGTTAGGACATTTACAGACAAACTGTCCAAATGTTGGACAGTTCACACGTTAGGCACCCAGGTCCGCGCCCCTCCGACACGCCGCTTCCGCATCCGCCAATAGCGGTCCCTCCTCCACATGAACACCGTTCCCAGGATCACCATGAACCTGTCCCGACATCGATGACTAGTCTGTCGGCCATCCCATGGGTGACTATCTCCACCCCACCAGTGATCCATTTGGCATTGACAATACGTCTGCCTCCCCCCTCTCCGGTGCCGCACATCCCACCGGACGACCCCCAGGCGTCGCAACCCACGTCGCCTCACGCCCCCCTCACCGCCACATGTTTCACAACTCTCCTTCCAAATCCATCCTTTGTCACCTTCGCTGATGTTGTTAAGGAACAAGCCCGACTCTATCGGCTTGTCCGATTAGGCAATGAATAACGCCGCCTCAACATCATTATCTCCACCTCCAACTCATCATGCTTTCACCTCAAATTCATTGCCGCCACCCTTGGTGCGTCGACGACTAAGTTTCGGACCCTCCTCGACATTGGAGCCACTGGTAACTTCATCATCGAGGCGTGTGTCAGGAAAGTCGGTCTTACCTCTACCGGTTACAACTCCCCGATTACTATTCGTTTAGGGGACAAAGACACCGCCGTCGTAGTAGACCGCACGGCTCCCGAGACCACCATGACTGTCGGAACGCTCCGCAGTCAGGTCTTATTCGATGTCATGCACTTAATGTGGGACATCGTCTTGGGAACACCGTGGCTGGACCGCTACATGCCATACTCGTTCCACCCCAACTTCATCCGCCTTACCACCCCCCTTGACACAACCATCGACATTCCCTATCTCCCCTATCCCCCCTCCCCAAGCAACATCACCGCACAGCAATTCCTTCACATGGCTCGTGCGTACCCTGACTCCACCTACTATTGCCTTGTCCTTGATCGCGAGCGTCTGGAGGACTTGCTTCCAACGGACAAACCCGACCAAGCCCCCCCCTCCAACCCCGCCCTCACCTCCATCCTCGACGAGTTCAAGGACGTCTTCCCCAAGTCCTTACCCGCCGGATTACCTCCAGATCGTGGTGTCTCACACCATCGATTTGGAGCCCGGTCACTTTCCACCTTGCCGCCCTCCGTACCAACTCTCCATTCTGGAAGCCGAAGAAATGAAGCGGCAGCTCAATGAACTCCTTGAAAAAGGACTCATTAAGCCAAGTTCATCCCCCTTCGGCACAAGCTGCCTTTTTGTCAAGAAAGGCGGAACATCGGAATTTCGGATCACAGACTACCGCGCCCTGCATCGGATCACGATCAAGAACAAATACCCCCTACCTTGGATCTTCGAGCTTCTTGATCGCCTCCGTGGAACCAAATATTTTACCAAAATTGACCTCCGCAGTGGCTTCCACCATATCCGCATCCGCAAGGACACCCACAAGACCGCATTCCGTTCTCGCTTTGGACACTACGAGTTCCTTGTGATGCCCTTCGGACTCACGAATACCCCTGCCACATTCCAATCCACCGTGAACCACATCTTTCGCGACCTCCTCAAAGTCTGTGTTGTCGTTTAACTCGATGATATCCTTGTCTATAGCCCTACCTTCGAGTCTCACCTTCAGCATCTCTGCCAAGTCCTCTCTATCCTCAGAGAGCAAAAATTATACGCCAAGCTCAGCAAATGCACCTTTGTCGCTTCAAGTGTTGAATACCTTGCCCACATCGTCTCCGCTGAAGGAATACGCATGGACCCCTTGAAGGTCACCACCCCCATCGAGTATCCACCACCCAAAACCCTACTCCAACTTCGTTCATTTCTTGGCCTTGCCAACTATTACCGGCCCTTTATCCGCAACTCCTTCGACATCTCGTACCCCCTCCACGAACTCACCCGCAAGGACGAACCCTTCACTTGGAACGACCGCCGCCAAAACGCCTTCGACCTCCTCAAACAAATCATCACTACGGCCCCCGTCCTCAAGATCGTCGACCCCTCTCGACATTACGGCGTTACCACTGATGCATCTGAATTTCACCCTTGGAGACGTCCTATCTCAACACCTCTGAAACCCCCTCCATCAAAGACTCCCCCACCCACCCCGAGGCTCCACCCGACAAGTACCCCATCGCCTTCGCTAGCAAGAAGCTTGAGAAGGAACTCCTCCCCATGATCCACGCCCTCAAAGTCTGACGCCCGTACCTCGACGGACAGTACTTCACCATCTGTATGGACAACATCATAGTCTCCTCTATCCTCACCAAGAAAGACATCATGCCACGCCAAGCCCGTTGGTTAGACTTTCTTGCCCAATTGAGATTCACCATTTGCCACACCTCCGGCAAAAGCAACTACATTGCCGACGCCCTCTCTCGACGCCCGGACCACAAACCCTCCGAGAAAGTCTACGCCGCCATGACTCATATCCAACTCCTACCTTCGCTCCACCATTGCTACACCCAAGGCTACCTCTCTTGCCCGAATTTCTAAAAAATCTACAACAGACTTCGTGATCTGGACTCAGTCCCCGACTACTCCCTTTATGACCAACTTCTTTACATTGACACCAAAGGCACTCGCCGACTTTGCATCCCCGACGCACGTGGCCTCCGTACCCAGCTCTTGGCCGAGCACCACGACGCCAAGACTGCGGGACACCTCGGGTTCCGAAAAACCTTCGACACCTTCTCTCGTTACTTCTAGTGACCTTCCCTACTCGCTGACGTCAAGGCCTACATTCGCCCATGCCCCACATGTCACGTCGTCAACCCCTCAAACCGCACCAAGCCCGACAAACTACAACCATTGCTGATCCCCACCCACCGGTGGCAATCTATCTCCATGGACTTCGTCTGCGGTCTCCCTAAGACCGACAGTGGACATGATTGCATTTATGTCATTGTTTGTCACTTGACTAAACGCGCTCACTTTATCCTTTGCACCACATCGAACAACGTCAAGGACAGTGTCATTCTCTTCTTCGATCATGTCACACGCCATCACGGTCTCCCCGAGACCATCATCAGCAGCCGTGACCCTTGACCCTCGTTTCCTTTCACAATTCTGGAAACACCTCTTTAAAGCCTACGGAGCCACGCTCAAGTATAGCACTGCATTCCACCCACAGACCGATGGACAAACCAAGAAGATGAACGATACTCTCCAAAAAATTATGCGGAAGTATTGTCATCCACATCAACACGACTGGGATCAGTTGCTCACCGTCGTCGAGATCGCCTACAACAACGTTGTCTGTCCTTTCACTGACGTGTCTCCATTCTACCTTGACCTTGGCTATCATCCGCGCTTGCCCAACAAAAAAAATTCTCAGTATTAAATAATCATTCTAGAGTAAAATTACATTCTAAATTTTAAATTTTCATTCCATCTTAAAAAATGTCATTCCAATTTTAAAAATTTTCGTCTTGCTTGAAAACTTTCCTTCCAAGAATGGGGTATCTGTTCTTATTTGAACTGCATGCTAGAGATGGAATGAAAGACTGGATGAGTTCATGAAATATTTTAGAGATGGAATGAAAGTCTGGATGAGTTCATGAAATATTTTAATTGGACTGTCATTCTAAGTAAGGATTTTCAGTCATAAATAGGTTAATCCAATCTAAATAAGACCATATTTGTTGTAGTAGAATGAAAGTTTAATTAAAACATTTCATAAACTCGTCCAAACTTTCATTCCATCTTGAACAAATAAATGTAGTTGGAAGGGAAAACTCGTATTTAGACGGGAACTTATGAAATTAAATTGGAGATTTTAGAATTGGACAAACATTGGAATGATAATTAATAAATATGAAGGATTGTTTTTTTATAGAATGGTTTTTCAACTTTCATTTCTCATGAGAATTTTTTTGTTGCCCTCCGATTTCCTACTCCCCTTGCAACTCAACCCCTCCACGCCCTGCCCTTCCCTCAATGAATGGGTAACAACAATGAATCGACTCCTCAGAGAAGCAACTGAAGCCTTTGAAAGAACACAAGAACAACAAGCAAACAAGACTAACAAACAGAGACGTGACTTGCTATTCAAAGAAGAGGACAAAATTTGGCTCCCCGCCAAACGCTTTGAACCCGAACACGACTTGTCCAACAAACTCTCGAAGAAGTGGCTCAGTCCCTTCCCCATCATTGAAAAAACCTCCCCCGTCAACTACAAACTCCAACTCCCCCCTGACATGAGTCATGTCCATCCTATCTTCCACGTAGAATACCTAAAAGAATACCATGAATCCCCACCCCAATTCGCTGACCGCCCATATCCTAGACCCCACCAATCGTGTTACCCACAGACCCTGAATTCGTCGTCAAAACCATCATAGGACGAAGAACTACTCAGGTATCTGACCACCCTGAACCAATCATAAAATACAAAGTTAAATGGACAGGATACCCTGACAAAGATTCCACATAGGAACCTCTTGCTCAGGGTTGTCACGCGGGGATCCCCGGGGCCCAAGCCGGGGTAGGGGTTTC